AAGCCCTGCCAGAAAATGAAAGCGGAGGGGATGAGAAGGCAAACTAGATCCAAACTCTTATCTCCTACCCACCTAACTGTCTAAATGTTGCAGGTTAAGGAAGTTCATGGACCAGACCAGTCTCAGAAAGGAAGTGTGTACTGTATCTTTTCCAGGGCAGGTGCTACACAGCTGTCCTCTGAAGATGCCGGCCACAGAGACTGGCATGGTTAAAGTGTGAAAGGTACCACAAAACTATTGTAGTTCGACAGAAGCCCTGCCAGAAAATGAAAGGGGAGGGGATGAGAAGGCAGACTAGATCCAAACTCTTATCTCCTACACACCCAACTGTCAAATGTTGTGGGTTTAAGTTCATGGACCAGACCAGGCTCAGAAAGGAAGTGTGTATCTTTTTCAGGGCGAGTGTTATACAGCTCTTTGTTACCCTTCAGCAAATGCCCACGGCACATCCTATATGCATGTATAGATATTCTACATGCAAATACACAGCTCTTTGGTACCCTTCAGCAAATGCCCAGGGCACATCCTACATGCATGTATAGATATTCTACATGCAAATATATGCATATTTTCAAGGCTATTCCTTTTTGGAACCCTCGGGTTAAAGCCCCAGTGCACATCCTACATGCAAATACAGATGTTGTGTTTCTATACACACATATACACACACAGTTCCCCCTGGCCATTAGGGGAGCTCTTTCTGGGAGGAAAGAAAAGGCTGGGGTATGTGAGGGAAGACAAATGTACAGGGACGACTGAGGGAGGGAGCCGATCCCCTCCCTTCCCAGCTTTTTTTTTTTAAAGCTTCCTCTCGCTTGCAGGAAGTGATAAATATTTGCAGCCGGGTCAAGCTGCACTCTTATTTTCCACCACCACCACCCTCCCCGCCAGAAGCACCACACATTCCCACTTTTGGGGGCAGAGCCATCCCAAACCTCTCCGGCGCATGGGCTCCTGGCAATGGGAAGGTGGCGGTTGCTGTGGCAGCCTTGGGGCCGCCCCAAACCCCCCATATCGAAGGATCCGGTGAGTCGCAGCAGCAGCAGGGGGACCCTGGGGTGCCCTTCTTCTTCCCCTCCCCGGTTGTTTTTTTTTTTTTTTGGAGTCCGGGTGGGGCGGGTGGCTTGCAACCCGCGGCCATGTGCGGACGTGCAGGCGGCGGCGTTCGCAGGTGGAGGCGGGCGGAGATGGGGAACGGGAGATGGATCGACTCCAAGAAAGAAGCCCCGGCCTCGCGTTTGCAAGACTTAAGCAATGCTCAGGAGGCTCGTTCAAGATGGGGGTGGTGTGGTGGGAGAAATCTTGCAGGAAGGGAGATATGCAAGTGATCGGGTTTGCAGGCACCTCGCCCGGATTAAAGAGCGAGCTGGAAGATGAACGGAGAGGAAAAAAACAACAACAAGCACGCTTGTAGGCAAAGGAGATCAAAGCCTAACTAGGGGAGAAAATGGTTGGTTGTCCCCGTCCCGTTGGCTTTACAGCGCCTGTTGAATTTCCCTACGCTGTAATTTCCCGCTCCTTTAATTTCCATATGGCAAGCCTTCGCCTGAAAGAAAGGAAGGCGTGCATTTATTTTCCCGTAAGGAGTCCGCGTGAAAGGATTTCCACCCGCTTAGAAAAACAGGAAGATCGTTGCACGTTAAAAAACAACCCCAGAAGTCTTAATCAAGTTTCCTTTAGAGGTCAGTTACAGTAGTTGCATTCACTTAGAGGGGTGTGTCCCGTTCAAAATATTTATTTATACCACGCTGTTTGATCACCTTATCACCTTGCAGGGCCACGTGTTAGGTTGTTATGCCCTGAGAAGCAGGTTTAGAAACCTCTTTCAGAAATGGAATACTGTACAAAATAAGGAGCAGGTAAAATGGTTCTTGTAAACGCGAGTGGAAAGGCCATTAATCTTGTAGTCATTAGTGGAGGCCTTTGGGATCTGATGGCAAAGTCATTAAAGGCTGATTCAAAACTATTTCTGATTTAAATAGTGCCTCCTGTTTGTTTGTTTTCTTCCTTTCAGAACTGGTTCTTTCCTGCTTTCCGTCTTCCTTCTTAATTCTCCATGGCTCTTTTTTTTGTGACAGGATGGCAGAGAGCCTCCCCAGGCCCCTTTTTGAATTACAACTCCCAGAATCCTTCAGCCAGTGTATGTATTGGCTGGGGGATTCTGGGAAATATAATTTGTTTTAAAAAGGTATACAGTGGTGCCTCGCATAGCGAGGTTAATCCGTTCCGGATTAACCTTCGCTATGTGAAAACTTCATTAAACGGAAAGTAAAAAGCCATTGGAACGCATTAAACATCGTTTAATGCGTTCCAAATTGGCTTAAAACTTACCGTTTAGCGAAGTTTCCTGGGTCCGGCAGCCATTTTTGCGCCCTCGGTAAGCGAGGAGAGGGCGCGAAAACGCTGCGCGCGGCCATTTCGGGTGTCTCGTGGCCATTTTGGAACCGCCGAACAGCTGATCTGCGGCGGCGCAAAGTGACGGTCAGTAAGCGAAACGCTTACCAATCTTCGCTATGCGAGTTTCGCCCATTGGGGCCGACGCAATGCCTCTGCATTAGCAATCCCAGAAAAGGGATCGCTATGCGGATTCGTCGCTATATGAGGCGCTCGTTATGCGAGGCACCACTGTACTGTATTTCCCAGGCTGTGATATTGGCCTGCATTCCTTTCACATCCTTGGTGTTTACCTGTTGTATGTTTTATGCTAGGTTATAGCACAAAGGACATTCACAGACCACTTCAGGATAGCTGGGGAAGGGAGGAACAGACATCCGTAGTGAGGGTTCAGTCAACTTTTCATTTTGTTCTACCCCTCAAAACAAATGCAGTACTTGTATTTTAATCGCATTTGCTTCTTTGGTGCCAGTACCATCATCTACAGACCCTCAGGGATATGTGTTTAATCTGGAGTGTTTTATTGCATGGAAAACACATTGCTGCTCTTCAGTTCCTTTTCATTTAAAACAAATAAACATGTAAGAAGCTTGTGGCGGAGTAGTTAAACTGCAGTCCTGCAGTCAAAACTCGAGTATGATCTGAGTTGGATCCTGACAGGCTCTGGTATCCTGCTTAGGGTTGAGTCAGCCTTCTATCCTTCTGAGGTTGGCAAATTGAGTACCCAGCTTGCCGGAAGGATAGGGAGAGCAATAGGTAACCTGCATAATTAAATTGTAAACTGTCCAAACAGTGCTTTTAAGTGCTCTGTGGCGGTATATAAGCAGCACACTTTACCAAGGACATACAGGTTCTCCTCGCTCCCTGCAGGCGTGAAGGCCTTCTTTTGACTGATGCTCGACATGTGATAGCTACAATCTGTTTAGTTTTATTTATTCATTACGTTTATATCCTGCCCTTCCTCCGGTGAACTTCAGGCAGGTACATGGCTCTTCTCTCCGCTTCATCATCACAACAACCTGTGAGGTAGGCCAGGCAGAGAAAGAGTGACTGGCCAGAGGTGAAGCAGTGAATTCTGTGGCTGAGGTTTTGAACCCGGATTCCTCAAGTCCCAGTTCAGCACCTCTGATGTTCCTCCTGCCCCCCCCCTCCCAGCTGATGATTTTGAAAACACGTTCTACAACTTTTTGCCATTCCTCTAGTGCTAAGTACGGGTGATGGGAACTCTAGATCAAAATATCTGGACAAACCAAGATTCCCTACTCTAAGCCATGCTGGCTATCATTGGGAGGGAACGAACACAAGGTGGCTACCTGGTACCCAGTGTGGTGTAGTAGACAGAGTGACCAACAATGCCTCAGATCTGGATTCAAATCCCCACTCGGCCATGGAAACTCAGGGTGGTGATGGAACTGTTAAAGCCACTGCTTAAATATCTCACCTAAAAAAGCCTTTTAGGATTGCTATGAAAACAAAGTATGCTGCTTATACTGTATACCACCCCATAGCACTTAAAGCTATCTATGGGCGATTTACAATTTAGTTATTCAGGCTACTTATTGCTTTCCCCTAAACAAGCTGGGTACTTGGTTTACCCACCTCAGAAGGATAGAAGGCTGAGTCAACCTCATGCCAGCTACCTGAGCCCATCAGGATCAAACGCAGGTCATGAGCAGAGTCTTAACTGCAGTACTGCAGTTTAACCATTGCACTACGAGGCTCCTCGGATGTAACTTAATGGCACATAACATACACGGCTCAGGCTTCTCGTTGATACGTGTTACATACAGCACTGATGTTACCTGTCTGTCATGGGTTTGGAGGGAAAGTTCCATCCTATGGGGAGTGGAAGGCGGGACATCAGGAGGAGGGGCTGTACTGTATATATATGTGGAGTTTGTGTGGAGAAGCAGAAGAAGCTAGAGGAAGAGCTGAGAGAAGAAGCTTGAGTGGGAGTCTGTGTGTCAGACAGGGTACTACTGTGTGTCAGTCAGTACCAACCTGATAGGTTCAGGTGTCTGTATGGTTAGCCAGAACTGATAGGTTCAGGGTCTGTGCTTCAAGTTAAAAGTGTTCTGTGTGAACCAAACTGTGTGTATATATGATTGAGACTAAGCCACGTTACTGTATCTTATTCACTTGATCCTTTTATTTTTCCCTGTGTGGTTTTTAAATAAACCTTATTCCTTTATTTGTTAAAAATCCATCCCTGGTCTGTGTGACTTCTTATAGGGAATGGTTGGTGGCAGCTTAGTGAAACTGTGGCATCCTCCAGTAGGTCTGGGTTTGTCACAATACGCATGTGAAATTATTCTTGCTTGAAACTGAGTGAGCATTTAAGATAGCAACAGAGTAAATTCTAAGAAAAGGTCTGTTTATTATTATTATTAGTTTTAGTTTTATTTATATGCCACATTTCTCCCAACAAGGGACCGAAAGCAGCTCACAACATTAAAATTCACACAATTTAAAAACAAAAGAAGTTAAATATTGAAAGATAAATTAAACAATCTATGATTTAACATACAGGTAAAATATTAAAACATGACAACATAAAAAAACGATTAAAATGATCTGCCAGAATGTTCATTTCCTTCCCTTCCAGGCACTCCACCGCCGAAATGCGTCCTCTTTTCCGCTTCCCCGTCAGCCCCTGCCACCGCTGGCCCAAACCATGGCCCGATACCTGCGATCTTTGGAGCCTTTGGTGAGCCCCGAGGAGCTGAAGCAGACCCAGGAACTGGTAGCAGAGTTTGAGACACCCGGCGGCGAGGGCGAGAGGCTGCAGGCCCGGCTACAACGCAGGGCGGCACGCATGGATAATTGGGTAAGGCTGTGGCGCCGGAAATCTGTAAGAATGGAGCTGATGTATAGTGGTGCCCCGCATGACGACGATTATCTGTCCCGTGAAAATCACTGTTTAGCGAAATCGTTGTAATGTAAAAATCCTTTCCCCATTGGAATGCATTGAAACCCGGTTTAATGCATTTCAATGGAGAAAATGCCTCGTCCAGCGAAGATTGCCCATAGGGAAGCCATTTTGCAAGTGCCGATCAGCTGTAAAAATGGCTGTCCTGCGAAGCATGGGTCCGGAAAACACAGGGCAGCCATTTTGCGGAGCCAAAAAAAATCGTCTTGCAAACAAACGGTTCGCGAAGCATGGACTTAATCGACGTCCAGCGAAAATCCCCCATAGGAATCACTGTTTTGCAAATCTCTATAGCAATCGCAAAAAGTCATTGTTACGCGATTCGTCGTTTAGCAGGGTTGTCGTTTAACGAGGTACCACTGTATAGAGGAAAGGTAGATAAGAACACAGGCAACATTTCCTGTGTTTGCATGGTGCAGAGTGTGATTAGAGATGGCAAGCCAACTTGGTGTTCTTCTATGCTTCTTCACCATTGCTGATCTTCTCAAGAAATCCTAGATGTCTTTCCAGACTTGTCTCGGGATGGGTTATTTTAAGATATATCATCCTTCATTTGGAACAACTCCACAGTTGCTGGGGTCTGTGGAAATATTCAAGATAGGAACATCTTGGACATGTTTATAGGTCCCTTTACAGGTTATTCCCTATGAATCTTGAAGACCAGGAGGACCAAAAAACAA